TCCAGCTCACTCCTACCGCTTCCAGCTCACTCCTGCAGCTTCCAGCACTCCTGCAGCTTCCAGCAGTCTCCAGTTCACTCCTACCGCTTCCAGCTCACTCCTACCGCTTCCAGCTCACTCCTGCAGCTTCCAGCACTCCTGCAGCTTCCAGCAGTCTCCAGCTCACTCCTACCGCTTCAAGCTCACTCCTGCAGCTTCCAACACTCCTGCAGCTTCCAGCAGTCTCCAGCTCACTCCTACCGCTTCCAGCTCACTCCTACCGCTTCCAGCTCACTCCTGCAGCTTCCAGCACTCCTGCAGCCTCCAGCTCACTCCTGCAGCTTCCAGCAGTCTCCTGCTCACTCCTACCGCTTCCAGCTCACTCCTGCAGCTTCCAGCACTCCTGCAGCTTTCAGCTCACTCCTGCAGCTTCCAGCACTCCTGCAGCTTTCAGCTCACTCCTGCAGCTTCCAGCTCACTCCTGCAGCTTCCAGCACTCCTGCAGCCTCCAGCTCACTCCTGCAGCTTCCAGCGCACTCCTACCGCTTCCAGCTCACTCCTGCAGCTTCCAGCACTCCTGCAGTTTCCAGCACTCCTGCAGTTTCCAGCTCACCCCAACAGCTTTCAGCGGCCGCCAGCTTACCCCTGCGGCGCTCTACTGACGTCCCGCTACCTATTCCAGCACCCGCTGACGATCTAATCCAGTGCCCACTCACGTCCAGCGCCCGTTAACGTCCGGACACCGTTCCCGAACAAACGACCTCTGTCGTCTTACCATCCACCGTTCGCAAATAAAATTTCCATCATCTACAACGGACCATCTGGGTTTGTCATCCTTCTTTGCTATTGCCATCTCCTTGCCTTTGTGTCCCCTATTTTAGTTGTACGGTCGATTGGCACTCACACCTCTCGGCCCGCTGCAACAATGACTTCTTGATGTGACCGGTCAAGGTGAGGTCATCTCAGCGTGCAACAGCTTTGGAAAGTATCTGAAAACCATACCCCAGTTTGGCCCAAGTCATGTGAGGGACATTGGGAGCCGTCGACTGTTGAATGTTCTGGTTTAATATATATATATATATATATAACAAGAGAATGATGCCAGCTGCACTGTGTTTCCAAAAGTTGAACTTCAGCTACAGTATTTATTTATGTTTTGAGCGTTTTTTTTAGGTAGAGGACATATTTTTCTATTTTTAGGGGTGTAGTCTCGAATCAAACCTTTATTTTGGAATTATTATTTTTAATATTTATTATGTATCGGCGATTAGTTTTTATTATTTAAATAATTGTTTTAACAATAGTGAAATAATAATAATAATAATAATAATAATAATAATAATAATAGACTTAGAAAAGTACAGGATTGAAGAAAAATCAATGTTTAACGATATTTCAACAGTATATCTATATCAAGTTATTTTTTAAAAGAAATTTAAATTATTTCACTCTAAATAAGAAAATAAACCATTGGGACGCAATGGGGTTAACCGGTGTAAAAGAATATAAGAAAAAAGAAAACATTATTAACTAGAGAGAACAACAAAAGAACTGGAATTCTGAAGACAGAAGATAACGATTGACATTGCATTAATATTTGTTTATCAAGTTAAGTTTAACAGTGCGTGCAAGTAAAAAATAATATATTTAAAGAACAGTCGATGTACAAATGTTGTTTGTATTGACGACAATACAACGGCTGTACTGGTAATAATCAATGAGACGAAACGAATGAAACGCAGCCAGTGTTAATGGAATGCAACTGAAACATCATGATGATCGTTGTAATCTTGAAATTTTCTGTTAGTCTAATCATTAGAGCAATTAATCAAATAGTTTCGTATAAAACTTATTGAAATCTCATGAAATCCGGGTGAATGTGTAAAATGGCTGGGCAATTTCATAGGATCTATATGAAACTATTTACTTACGCACAAACCCCTTTAAAAAGGTATGATCAATCTCCCCCAGCTATGGGTTAAATAGTATCCAGAAAAATAATTGTTATTATAAAAAAATGATAATGCAATATTCACTCAAAAAAAGAATTATTCTTGCAAATTACACACTACGGGTAGATAAGTCTTAGAAATCATTCAATCAACCGAAAACCCTATAAATTCGGCATATGAGCCTCAATTTTATTTTTTTAAATGATAGCATTCTCATATTTAAGCCAAGCAAATTTCAGCTAAATCGCTCTAAAGAGAGAAAGTTAGAAAATCCCATTTTCCAGCAAACATCGTCATGTTTAATGATTAGGAGTAGAACGGTCTTACCGAGATAATTGCCAGCCTTCTACACGTGTATGATACATTCTCTTCTCTCTTGGGAGAATATTAAGTGCCACCTTTTTGTATCGTCCAGGAAGTGATCTTCTTTTCATGCGTTGCTTTAACACATACTCGTTTGTTGGCGTCTTTTCTTTGGATTTAGAGCTCATAACTGCCAATTATTTTCTCCTTATGGCGTCGTCCCTATCCAAGACCTAGGGAATTTATCGCAATGTTCCGTCCGGCATCATCCCCGGCATAACATACCAATCGATATCATGTAAGGGCAATCATTTGCACTAAAGGGAAATTCTAAGATCCGAACAGAAAGTTCGAGATGAAAAAACAGAATTTCAAAAACACTTAAAAGATCACAGTCCCTTAGTGTGTCTGTCTATCTCTGTCTCTGCCTCTTTGTCTGTCTGTCTGTCTCAATATATATATATATATATGTGTGTGTGTGTGTGTGTGTGTGTGTGTGTGTGTGTGTGTGTGTATGTATGTATGTATGTATATAAAATCAAATTGATAAATATAAATAAATGTACGTGTGTTTACATAAAATCACACACAGAAACACACACACACAAACGCGCGCGCGCAGACACACACACACACACACACATATATATATATATATGTATCCTTTGGTGTAAGTAAAAAACACTACCCAATGCTAAATAACAGAGCTATTAATTATATATTAATAAATATACATAATATCCCAAGCATCCATGACATAATATCCAAACTGTACTCTCTGTATGAGGTATTATATATATATATATATATATATATATATATGTATGTGTGTGTGTGTGTGTGTGTGTGTGTGTGTGTGTGTATGTATATATATATTATATATATATATATATATATATATATATACATATTAAAATTTGCTATAAATACAAGGTTAGACTTGCCAACATCAAAGAGGGCGTGTTTATATATTTCGACCATGTGGACCTACGAATAAATTTGAAAATCACATTAACACGTGAAAATGCCAGTCATCAAGCAGTTTTTATTTCTATGTGAACACTGTCTCTGCCTGTCGATATCTATGCATTTCATTCGATATCTTTGCTTTTTACCGTTATTAACCACGGTAATTATACCGAAGGAAGAAGACAACTCGAAAATTGATTGAAGATGGTTGTTAACTGTCAGTTGAACAACCCTTGCAGAGAAACTGTACACAATTGAATATAAACGATACGAACAACGTATTCTTGTTGGATATAAAAATTGCAATGTCAGACTACCAAATGCAGCACAGATCTAATTGTGAATCCCATATGTCGGTTGATTCATCGTCATAGAAAAAATAACAATGAGGATACTAAACAAAAAGAGTCAGTGAAACGTAACAAGAAGTCATCTCAGAAGTTCATTCGTAATTTATAATTGAGTAAGGAATTGCAACTATTCCGCTAACTGCAATTTCATCATGTGCTGCGGTCGCACGGTCAAGACGTAACTCTGTACAGGACAGCTCCCTTTTTATATAGGTATATATATTCATATTGCATGTCATATTCCGTGATTCTAATGGTTTCAACCCTTTTTTTTTTCTTTTAAACATAGTGGCATATTGTAGGACGGTAGCGGAAATACTGTTCTATCATTGGACGTGTCTATGCAGTTAGAAATTTTTCTTGTCGTTATTTATGGAGGTGTTCCCATAAGCCTGCTTCTTGTATGATGTTGTTTCACAATGCGTTATTAGTGATGCGATCTACGTAGCCGATGTCAAGGATACTTTTCTAGCATCTCACTTTTAATGATTGGGTTGTCTGCTGTGGTTCTGCTGTGAAAGAATTGGCAACGCACAAAAACCAAAAACCAAGCAATATTTGATTTTTGATCCCAGGCAGTTGGGTTCTATTTATTTTTTATTTTTATTAATATATATATATATATATATATATATATATATATTGATTATGTAGCTCTGATTAAGCTCAAACTTCTGTAATTTTTAGTTTGCAGCAACTTTCTATCCGCTTGTATATTTTGTCCTCTGTCAACTGGTCTTTTTTCGAGATAATATTCAGAATAATTTTATGAACGCTCAAATCTTTCTGCCTCTTTGTGAATGTCAGTTTTTATTCTCCACATATATAGCTTGTTTCTTCCAGCACTTGCATCTCCCCTCAAATATAAAAAAAAAAAAGCAATCTTGCTATATATAATTAACAGGGATTATAAAGGCGGTATGATTGCCATTGAATAAAAAAAACATGATGCGCGTCCAAAAAGACTATTGTATATTAACCTTCTCTCGTTGCCGAAGTTTTAAAAAAAAAACAAATAATTGGAAACTCAATGAAATATCACATAAATCAATTTAATGTTCAATAAATTATAAACCCGATATGTAAAAGAAAGGAGATATTGAAATCACATTGAATGGAATAAACTGTATCAATAGCGTTCAGATTGAATGAAAACGGTATTGTTTGAGTGGTGAAGGACTAAAAAATAGTTTAGATAACGGATATCTTTCCAAGGAGAAAGATAATATTGAAATTCTTGAATTTCTTCAAGACAATATATTTAGAATCTTACAAAATAATGCCAATGCATCCACTTGACACATTTATCGATTATCGTTAGATACCAAATATAAGCACTGCTCTTTCTCTCTCTCCTTCTATCTATCTATCTATCTATCTATCTATCTATATATATATATATACACACACACACACACACACACACACACACACACACACGACACGACACGACACGACACGACGGTGGTAAAGGTCGATGTTCGAGCATAGGTTAAGAATTCACGATTTCGAATGCTAATTTAAAAAGAAAGCAGGTATTCCTATTTTGAGGAAAAACCTAACGTAACACTGAAACAAACAAACAAGCACGCACGAAAGCACAAAGAAAAAACACGCACATGCGTACTCACGTGTCTACAACTGACCAGGCCTGCTGGGTTATGTATATTTCAACTTTTACAACCTACCCACTGTTATGCAAGACATAACATGTTTGTAGTTTATACACGGAGGTGCTCACTACCAATGACTTGGAAACAAAAACGTGTGTTAATGATGTTTTTTTTAATAAAATATATATTAAAATAAAGAGACTTAGAAAAATTATATATACATATATATATAAAATATAATAAAAATCAGTAATTCTCGTATCATGGCCTGCGCCATCATTGCATTAACCAGATGATTTTATTAAAATTTAAATTAGGTAACGGTCAGTTTCTACTCAGTACCTGAAGACTACGTTGTGCATGAAACTCTGAGTCATGCTACCGGTGAGGAATATATATATATATATATATATATATATATATATATTACATGTGCTATCCTATCTATGACAGAGCGGGAAAATGTTTCGCGTGTAGCAGCAAAATGTCCAAATTGTATAATAGCAAAAGTGTCCAATTGTTAAATTATGATTTGAACCGTTACATCTTAGAAGGCCTGAATGATCTTTTTTCTCTCGCCATTGCTCAGTCGGCAAGATATAGTTGGGCTGGCACAAAATGATTTTAACCTGTTTCCTTCTAGCTGAATAACTCAAAGGCTCTTTCAGTGATTTTAGGCTTTTAGGTCATTTTCCACATTTCAGCACTTTTCCGTAGTAATGTTTTTTATTGAATATTACATGTATATATGATATGATGAAAATCTATGACAGAGCGGGAAAATGTTTCGTGTTAGTCATTCTGTCATTTTGGGCTTCGTCGTCCTAATGTGATGGATTTCTAAAGCATGAAACACGTACATGAATTTTTTTTTTTCCACTTTTTCATAACTTAACATATTTTGTAATTTATAAAATCTTTCTCTAAAAAAAATATTCATGGGAAATAAATCCAGAATCCAGAAAATGTTATCGATTTTTTTTAATATTGATGGGGGCTGTCTTCCTAAAGTTTTAGTTGAAGTGGTGTGAAAAGTCACCATCTTGATTATGTCATTATTTTCTCTTTGAGTTACATGTGCTATCCAATCTAATTGTTGTTGCTGTTGGAAGTCCTCAAGTGATGTGTTTCTGCTATCTGTTAGAATTCTTTGTTTATGATACTTTAGCGTCAGTTCACCAGGTTCGAAGAAGCATGCCCTTCGCCAGACAGTTGGGTTCTATTTATTTATTATTTTTATAGTTTTTTTTTATTATTTTTGTAGCTCTGATTAAGCTCAAACTTTTTAACCATTGAACTGAAAAAGCTGACAGGTTAGATATTTCAAAACGTGTTTGTCGCCATGCCTGACATCCATAGGAAAGGCTGCATCTGATAAGACTATTAAAGAATATGACTCGAGTTTTCGTGTCAGTGTTTTGGTTTTGTTGCAATACTCGGTGTTGGAGGGAACTACATGCAGAGCATACTATTTTTTGTTCTATTTTCTTATCTCTTTTACCTCATTGGTTATAACTGATCCATACACCGAGGTATTTACATCCTGAATGTTTCATGGATTCAGGATATGTGCGATAACTGCTTTCATTTTTACTCCTGATCATTGTTTTTGTTTTAGAAAAGTTTAATCTTCTATTTCTTGGAACACTTTGTATAGATTAAAGGAATCTTAATGAAATAAAGATACAGCGTAAAATGTTCCCATGGTAAATTTTTACTAGAAATAAAAACATCATATATTTTACTCTCTGGGTTGATTATAAACTGCAGATTCGAAGAGATATCTGCTTACTTGATTCTAAACAACAGAATGTAATTGTAGCAAAAAATGAGAATAATGTTTTACAATTATAGAAATTATGACACAGATAAAAATAATGTTATTGCAAAGAATTAGAAAATATGGTGTTGAACCAGACCCTTTGTTAGAGTGTAAATTTATAGTTCTTCTTCAATAAGATCGATGCTAACCAAAATATTTTGAAAGAAACAAGCTTTATTTTTGCGGGGAATTTTAATATTTTTTAAAAATGTTATTTCCTTCTTTCTTAAATATACTGTTATTATGCTTGTTATCAGAGACAAACAAACATGACCGGAAGAATTATAAAGTTCCAAGCAACTGAACGGTCTAATTTTTAATGTTGTTATGATGAATTTTATTGTTATTGGTATCTGCGTTTTCCAGTAAAATCTATCTATGCTTTTCTTTCTATTTATCTATCAAGCTATGATTCTGTTCGTATCTATCTATCTATCTATCTATCTATCTATCTATCTATCTATCTATCTATCTATCTATCTAGGATTTTGTTCACATCTGTCTATCTGTGATTCTCTTTACATCTATCTATCTATCTATCTATCTATCTATCTATCTATCTATATATATATATATATATATATATATATATATATATATATATATATATGTGTGTGTAGTGTAGTGTGCGTTTCTACTCGTCAATATTTGCCCATAACTGTGAACAGTTGTTACAATCTCAAAAAAACGTTGGCTCTGGGAATAACAGCAATTAAGATGTGGTTCCACGCTCCTCAAAAGCTCCAATCTCTCCTCCAGATGCCTTCCTGCCGGATGTAGTTTATCATCATACTCAGAATTACAGCGCCCTTCACCAGTATTTTCGGTTCAGGTGACATGGTGGAAGATTTCTGAAACCCCCAATCATTGTCCAGGTGATCAGAAAGACAATCAGTCAGAAGGAAATGTGACATCTAGATATATTATCCCCCATCGATTCACATACTCTGGTCAGGAAAATAAACCAGTAATTTCAGAGAGGTCTAGCGCATTCCATGTGTGGAAACGGCATAGAAGCGTCAAAACCTCAAAACTGGGCGCCATTCGGGTTATTATAATTTCTACAACTGCCGTTGATGAATATACCTATATATATATATATATATATATATATATATATATATATATATATATATATATATATATATATATATATATATATATATATATACATATATATATATATATATATATATATATATATATATACATGGTACAACATACATATATATATATACATGGTACAACTTAACGGCACACCGCGAAATTGATATTAAGGACATCGGGGCTGTATAGAGATGACGGGCTCATGGTGGTGAGGAGTTCTACTAGTTTTAAGATTGAAAAAAATCAGAAAAATTATATTTAGTGAATTTAAGAAACTAAACTTAAAGATAACTGTCTCTTCTAATTTGAAAAGGGTTAACTTCCTCGACGTAACTCTAGACTTACCAGGCAAATACATACCAACCTTATAGAAAACCAAATGCTAACCCTTTATACATACACCCGAAGTCAAACCATCCTCCGTCAATAATTAAACATATACCCTCATCAATAGAAAATAGAATTAGCATTAACTCCGCAAACAAGGAAATATTCCAACAACACAATGGCTTCTATAACACTGCCCTAAAAAATAGTGGTTATAAAAATGCTAACATTAACTATAGAGAAAATTACACTGGCCATAGAAACAAAAACAGGAAAAGAAATATCATTTGGTACACCCCTCTGTTCAACCAAAGGGTTAGTATTAAACTAGGACAGAAATTCTTAGCTCTAATTGATAAACACTTCCCCACCAATAATAAGCTTAGTAATATATTCAATAAGAACACCCTAAAATTGAGTTACAGCTGCTCTGATAATCTTGAACGTATAATAAAAAAACACAATAATAAGATCTTGAACAAACCCCCATGCCAAAACAGAATTAATAAAAACTCTGCACTTAAACCAGACGATAAAAGGGAAAAATTTTGTAACTGTAGAAACCCAGAAGACTGCCCATTAGAAAATAAATGTTGTATTAATTCTGTGGTATACCAATGTACTATTTCATCCACAGAGAGTCCTAGCACTAATATGGTATACATTGGGTCCACGAAGAATAATTTTAAAGATAGATGGAGGCAGCATAAATGCTCCTTTAATAATATAAACAAAAGAAATCAGACTTCACTATCAAAATATTTTTGGCACCTGAAGGAAACAAATAGGACACCAAATAATAATAGACATGAGTTAACGGTTTTTTGTAGGCATCATCAGATTTTTGGTTTGAATTATTAGATAAAAAAAAAAAAAACGGTTATAATAACTTTTTTTGTTTAACAAATAAAAAAAAAAAAAAAATTAATCATCAGATTCATAGTATGAATAATTAACTACAAACATGCATACAACATAACACCCTTCATAATCCATAGCCCAAATAAGTAGTTTAAATACCTTACATAATAGATAACCCTTTATGAAGTCGTCAAAAAACAAACGTTACGAAAGGTTTTTTTTTTTTATATGCACAATTCGCTTTCATAATAAAATAAAATAAAATAAATAAATAAATCTCCATAGACAAGCAAACTAGACGAAGGTTAATACATCTTCCGTTTCATTTTAGACAGCCCCACCTTTCCCCGACTTGACATCTTGAAAGTATCTCTATACCGCTACTTATTATTAACACCCTACACTCACCTACCCAATTTAAACAATTCGCCCTTGCTGTTACCATGGAGATTTTGATTTCAATTTTTAAAACAAGTAAATTTCAGATATACGTTATTCCAACAAAAAAAAATTTACTTGAAGATGGAACGGAGCCCATTTTAATTTAAACTCAATTTAATTTAAAGGATTATATTGAAGTTTTCGGCTCTTGTTTTGAAACATGAGACCTCTTATGTAGCGATTTGGAATCATATTTTAAATAAATAATTATATATATATATATATATATATATATATATATATATATATATATATATATATAAAGGAGGCACGGTATATATATATATATATATATATATATATATATATATATATATATATATATATATATATGTATATATATATATATATAGAGAGAGAGAGAGAGAGAGAGAGAGAGAGGAGGCACGGTGGAGTAGTGGATAGAGACTTGGATTGAGGAATCGCAGAGCTGAGTTCGAATTCGAGTCGAATCCATTACATTCACTTACGTGCTAATACCCTTGGGAAAGGTATGAATCCTCTTCCTCCCCCTCCAGCTATGGGTAAAATAGCAGTACAGACTGGGTTCTATAGCCATGGATGGCAACTGGCCTAGGAGAAGGACAACTCTGAATTCAAAACCTGCTGAGGGTCGTTTGGGAACCTTGTGGCATTCGGTGCACCAGGTCTTTGTATTCGTCCCTTCAAAATGTGTGGATGGTCCTGCACGAGGCCTTCACCATTATAATCAAATCTCATGTGCCGGTGTCGGGCTGTCGGTTTCCTGGAAACTGATCTGCTTGACCCTCATACGTCGAATCTCGACGGGAGAGTCGATTATTATATATATATATAGTTATATATATCCAAATGATCATTCGCAACATATATGGAATCTATATCTCAAGGACACACCTTAGAAAATATATTTCAATCATTAGATAGTGACGCTCGTGCGTTCCCAAAATAAATTCTAATGTTTTTTTTTTTATTTGGTTAGACTTTACGTGGTGTATCAGGCCGAGAAATTTTCAGCACCCTATCTTTTAATAGTAACAACCTCTTAGTAGTTGAAAAGGAAGTAATGCATCATGTGAACAAATTTCAGACTGGTGTCTGAATATGATGAAATCCCAACCAATTTTACGTGTGTGATACTCGTAGAGTAATGGCGAAAAGATTTTCAAAGTTCTAAGAAACATTGAAGTTTTTCCAAAAATGTGCACCAAGAAAACCATCGAAGAAAGAACCTCGCAGACGGAATTAACATCTTAAGTTAAAGATACCGAAATCTTAAACCAAATTTCACCCACTTAAATCGTTCAATGGGGGATGAAAGATTTTTACTGAAAATGTCGAAATTCGATTTGAATAATACCGTATTTGCCTTCGCATTAGATGAGTTTTTTTTTAATGTACCAAAAAACGACCTAATACAGTCGTATGACAAACAGCAGATGACGGAACGGAACGCTGTACAGGTTGAGTCGGTCATCGGGTGAGCTGGAGTTCGCTAGTTATAAAAAATTGCATCTAGCAATAAAATATTGATAATAAGAAAATTTATAACAGTAAATTATGTTACCACTAATAAAATACTATGGTAGTTTACATGTATGATAGTTTGTACTAATACTAGTTTATGTTAGAATACATTTATTTTTTCACCGTTATTTGTTGTATCGTCGGCTTCATCTCGTATCCAAGAATTTAATTTATTTTTTACTGATTGCTTCTTTTATGTTGATGTTGATGTATAAATTCGCCGCCAAAGTGCAGGTTCAAGACTTGAAGCTTCCAATTTCACTAAAAGCCTGCTCCTGTCATTCATCAACTATCGCCGTTTGGCTAAGCAAGAATTGGTTGGAGGTGAAATAAAATCAGAGAAGAAGAAATTGCCGATTGCGTGAGATTAAGGTTCGCCTCAACTTGCCAGAAATTTACCCATACACTTTATTTCAAGACTTTGCTCTGCGATACATGGAATGAGACATATAAAATCCAGTTGTGAAACTGCAATATGCTGTCGTAGCATGTCCGCCATGAGTAGCCCGCTTCATCTGCTGATTTAACCGATGGGATCTGTTGTAACCATTAACCGTTTGTTTTACCGTTGGAGTCTTTAAGGTAATATTCAATGAAATAATTTGCTTTGTCTAAATGTACTGCAATTATCTATAAGAATTCATTTACATTTATTGTACCTTACTGATTGCTTTATATCAGTTAGCTTTGTCTATATGTATCAATAATCATTGATACAAATGTACCACTTTGGAAAATTTAATTTAGTTTTGAAGGTGGTTAAAGTTGTAATATATGATTTAATGCTTTATTCCCGTGTTCTGTTAAAAAATGTTTATTCGAAATGCAAAAAATCCTACAAGACCACTTTAAAATATTTTCTAATAAACATATGATGAAATATACTAACACTTTCTTTCAAAATATATCCTTGCAAAATAGATGGCGTCCTATGTAAGTGTGTGCCTTACCCGAAACCAAACACAGTAATTATAGGAATATATTTGTTCAGAAACTGGATTTCTTTGTTTTTTATATTCTATCAAGAATGTGGCTTTCTTTTACTAAACTATAAAAGCTGTTTATAACAAAATATCAACAAAATGATCAGGTTTTACATAGAAAATGTCTATGAGTTTATGGAGCATGCGCTGACAGAAAAGAGAACGGGGATTTTTTTGAATTGCTAAAAACATAAGAAGTCTTATAACGATGTACTTCAAATGGACGTATATAAGAATTTAGAATACAAAATATTTCTCTGAATGTCAAACATTGAATATCGATAATA